GAGTTTGTATGTAATGTATGAATATAATATACAAGTTTCACTTTTTAAATGGAATTACTGAAATAAATCTACTTTTTCATGATATTCTAATTTTATGACCAGCACCTGTACAGTTCTAGCTTTACGGAGGGCTTTCTTATGTTAGCAGGCTATCCTCCAAGTAAAGTAAAACTCTTCTGTTAGTGGAGTGCCATTTTCTCTCCAGTTTTCTAGATACCTGTTTTAAAGAAAACGTAACTCTGAATTAAACCATGGAGTCGTCTTCCTCCGATYGATAACTTTCTTTTTCAGAGGAGCAATTTCCTCGAGAGGTTTGCATTAAAGTTGTAATATTATCAACAAGATTATCTAAGTTACTGTTCTCTATTACCTTATTCTGTAAGACAGAGGAAAATAAAGATGGAAGGGATTCTATAAATTTGGCTACAACACTCTGATAAACATCTACTATAATGAAGTTTACCCAGTGGCTGTGTCGTCAACTAATGTAAACTTCTGTATATTATAACATGAACATAAAAAACAACTATCAGTTATCAATAATCAGACAAAAAAATCTGAGAATTGAGATAAAACAGAATAAGGGTCTGGTGGACAATAAATAACAAATAACAGATTTTTCTGATTTCCGTTTTGAATGAGAGACTGAGAGACACAAACAAAAGAATTGTAACTAATAATTGGTTGAGCTGTATTAATCATTTATCCTGACTGATAAACAGCAGCCACTCCTCCACCTCAACCTGTTGTTGTAACAACACTAACAAAACCCTCCTGTTGTAACCAGGTCTCTAAAAGACAGAATAAATCAATATGATGATCAGTTATCAGATCATTAACTAACAGAGGAAATTTTATGATTTTATTTTTCTAGAGTTGTTTTTTGGATTTATTTAATTTGTCCCGTGGGTGAATTGACACAGTTTCAATGGGGGTTTGGGGGTTTGTTCAACGGCGCAGAGCCGAACTTCCATTTCAGACAGCCTCCCCTCTAAAGCTACCGTAAGACTAGACCACATTTATTACACGTAGTGCTATTGCTAAAGGTTGATGTATTCTGAATTTACAGACAGTAACTGAATTGGGGCTTTTCAAAAATATTTGGGGGAGTTTTATGGGGGGTTTTTGTGTTAAAGGAGCAGTTTCAGGTTCAGTCCTGTCAGTGAGTTTTATGGTTTTTTTTTTTTTTTTTTTTTTTTTTTTTTTTTTTTTTGTTTTGTTTTTTTTTGTTACAGGAGCAGTTTTAGGTTCGGTCCTGTGGGTTTTGTTTCTCTTTAAGCACATTTACACTTTAACTCTTGCTCTGAACTTCTGGAGAATTTTAAAACCCTTACAGCTGAAGTCTGAATCAGTTCACCCTCATTATACCGACCATGCAATTGTTTGATATGTTGCCTTTTTTAATCCTAACTTTAGGTTGACCTTCCAACTTTTGAGGAAAGTCTGTAGAACACATCAGTCCCCATGACTCCCTGTGCAGACATCTGCCTTTTATCAGTTTAGAGATTTCAGATATTTTCACCTCTTCATGTGCCGTCATCCCACAGAAATGCTATATATACACATATACATATAAAGTGGCCATAAAAGTTGGAGTTAATAGCATGGTTTTGGTTAAAGCTTCTACGTGTTGTTGCGGGGTTGTGCTGAATCCTGGCGCCTCGTCTGGTTCAGGTCACTGTCCGATAGGAAAGTGAATCGGTGTCTGCTTTGCAAGACTCTCTCTCTCTCTACAGTCACATGAGGGGAAAACAAAAACGCAAGCTGGTGATTTATCAAAATGGTAACATGGAGCAGTCAGGCTCATCAGCACAGAGCTGGATGGAGAACAGAGAGCCTGATGCTACTAGAGAACGAATCAGAACAGCAGCAGCGTTTAATTTATGGGTGAAAGTGCAGGGAGCGATGCCTCCACCCTCTGAGCTGTCTGCCGTGTTTGGGTCCCATCAACTGAGTGGCCTTCCTGCCTTCCCCGCCTCTCGCCCTTCCTTTCTTCTCAGTCTAGTCTGCAGGAAATAAAGGGATTCACAAGGTCTCGACTGTCCCTGTGGCTTTTCTGGGATAGCAGGAAGTGATTGAGAAGCCAAATTGGATTCTGCTGCTCAGACCCCAGAAACCAACCTCAGTCACTTTACTGAAGAGAAATGCTCATTGTGGTGAAGGGAATGTGTGTTGGTTGAATGCATTAAAGTAGCAGTCTGGAGCTAAATGAACTCCTCACAACTGCATTCTGTCAGCAAGTGAGTTATTTGTTGTTGTTTTTTTTATCTGGAGCAGTAAGAGTGAAGACAGTAACTATTTAACCTTGGCAGAAGTTTGAGTATTTCATCCAGCAACATCTGCGCAGATTAATAAGTGCACACTTCAGGCTCCATCTGTGCTCAGCTTCAGATGTTAGTGTGGTGTTTATGAGCCAGGTCAGAGGTGAGTACACCCATTGAAACCCACTGAAGCACAAGAGGTCACTGTGGACATAATCCTTTAGTGCTAACCTCATAAAGGCTCAGCCATCAGTTTGTGGAGCACCACGGTGTGCAATCTAATTATCACAATTTTAAAAGTTGACATTAAAAGTGAGGAGGAACTCTTATAGGAAAGGCATGTCTGTCTCAGAAACTGCTGTTAAACCTACAGAAATGATTGAATAAGTTTAACCATATGAAGGTTCTAGAGAAGTAAGACATTCTGTGAGTTAGCGGAGCTGCCCCCTTCTGGTGGTTAGAAAGAATGTAGGTTCAACAACAACCTGTGAATTGTTTAGTTAAAACACTTTAAGGTTTTTATAATAATAACTTTATTTGTACATCACCTTTCTAAACAAATGTTACAAAGTCCTTTACATTGAAAAATAAGTTAATCATCAAAGACAACATGAAACAAAATATACCAAATCAATTACAATAAAACCAAAAACAAACAAAAAACATTATCAAATATTAAAAGCCTTATTATAAAAGTAAGCCTTAAGTAAAGATTTAAAAGAAAACAATGAGGTAGCCTGTCTAATATTTAGTGGCAGGGCATTCCACAAACTGGGAGCCCTAACCATAAAAGCCCGCTCTCCTGTCACCAGTCGAGCTCTGGGAATGGAAAGGAGTAATTGATTAAATGATCTGAGGTGACGAGACAGTATATATGGGTTAAGATGCTTTTATGGTCAATAACTGAGATCACAGTGAAAATGTATTGTTTTACTTTTATAATTTTGATAATTTTGCTATTGAAATTAGCTCAACAATAGTATTACCATCATTTAAATCCAGGTTATTATTGTGGTTTAAGCTTAACATATGCAGCAAAGTAATAATTTAAGATTGTATAATTTTTATTCCTGATTTTGGCTTCTGTTTTAGATTATGTATAAGGAACCACCCAGTAGGTTTCTTAAATTTAACTTTGTTGATGATGAGAAGTGGTTTCTTTGGGTCTGAGTGGTTTGTTTAATTTCATGGCTGTTCTATTCTGGCTCTAGACTTTGATTACAATTAGAGCTAAGGGCAATAAATTAAAGTATATTATAAACTGAGATAAAGAGGATCATGGATCCAGAGTTATAGCAAACTACGTATTTTATTTTTTGCAAAGGGTTGGACTAAATTAGGACTAGGATTATTAGGTAATGGTACTGGACGTATTTGGTTCTGGGTTACTTTGTGATTTTGAAACTTGATACTGGTGCAGTTTTGGTCACTACATACCCATATATTTGTTTTATGGGGACTTTAAAAAGAAGTTGTCTATCATTGGTTTCTTTATGCCCTCTTTAGTCTGAGAAATCTCATTTAACCTTTGACACCTGGCTCTAACCCTAGACAAGATCACAGAAAAACATTGGCACACAACAGAAAACATGAAATGAACAAAGAGTATGTAATGTCAACCACTAAGAAAACCAGGGGGCGAAAGTTTGAATTAACCAGCACTCAAACAGATGTCTGTTTCCATTTTGACCACTTTTATTTTAAATGTTTGTCTTCATTTTTAGCAGAATTTTGTTTCACCTGTTATTCTTCAGATATTTTCTCGATTAGAAAGAAGTTGAACCCTTTATCTGTCAATGTTTATATGAGTCAGACTCATCAGAGCACCTGCGTTTACTCCTCTGTCCTCTGCTCTCAGCAAAGATCTAAGACTTCTTGTTTCTTCTTTCCGTTTCCTGTCCTTTCAGTAGTCGTCAGAACCAGACGAAGGATCAGGCCCAGCAGGCTCTGGTGTCCCCCGGTCAGCTCCCAGAGGAGGCAGAGTGCCTCACGGTGCCCAAGTACAAGAGGGACCTTGTTCAGAAGCTGAAGATCCTCCGGCAGGAACTGTCCCAGCAGCAGCCTCAGGCCGGTCACTGCCGCATCGAGGTGTCCCGCGAGGAGATCTTTGAGGTGAGCCATGAACAGGGAGTGAGCTCCGTCATTAAATCTCAATGCAATGATGACTTTTTCAAAATGAAACAATCTAGAAATTGTATAAAAGACACAGAAACACACAGGGGATTTCTACTTAAAAAAAATTCAGCTGGATTCAATAACTACCAATTGAAACATGGAACACAGTGATAGATGTTTACAAATTAGCAAAAGAGACAAGGAGTTTGAGTTGGTTTGTGTGGGACTCCAGTTTCAATAACTCAAAGACAAAATTTGGACTGAACAATCAGGKTTAATACTGATATTTACAGGTGAGAGTAGGACTGGGCGGTATGACCTCAAATTCATATCACAGTATAAATTGAATCCCTTTACAGTAACGGTATATATCATGGTAGAAAAATATCATAAAAGTTAAGATAATGTAATTTTAGAGCATCTTTTTTTTGCAGAAAACTGTAATTATAATCAAACCCAGTATTTTTGCTTTAATGTCTGCCTGCCAAACAATGAGCTTCTGCCTGCTGAACTTATCAGCTGCGCGCTCATCTTCATCATCAGAGCAGAAGCCGACTTTACATTAGCAAGATGGATTTATGACTGAACGAACGTCCACATCTTTTTTTATTATCTCTGTGGGTAACAATACATAAAAAACTGTTTTTTTTTTTCTCCGACAACTTGGGTGTGAAAGAAAACTGTGGTTAAAGCTTTGCTCTGCACGACGTGCAGCAGGAGGGAGAGATTATGATCCTGCGGTACGATGTAACTTCTGCAGCGGGAGGAGGAAATTTTTATTTTATTTTCTCTATACGTGTTTTAAAACGCTAGAATTTTTTCATTATGTTTCAAACTCCTGCTCAGTTGTCTCTGCACTCGCAGCCATGCTGACACAGGTGCGATGACGTAATAACGATAGGACGGTAGAGGGTAAATTTCTACTGTAGGATCAACTTCATACCGTTTCTACTGCATATACCGCACAGCCCTTGGTGAGAGATTAACAATTGAAATTATAGAGATATTTCAGAAGGCCTACAAGATATAGAGATTCATCATCAGCACATATTTTGAGCTCTAACAGATCTTGGAATATCCCCCAAGATAAATTTACAAAGTTTGACCAAACCAGCTGTAACTTTGTCCCTTCCCCTCATCAGATGTCTCAGTTTAACACTTCGGTCTAAAATGGACAAAAAAAACCAAACAAAAACGGTGAGCGAAATGCAATTCTTCGAAGAACGCTAGGCCTTTAATTTGTAAGTTATTTTTAGTCTCGTCCAGATTATTTTAAACATCCTCTAAAGTTWTTTTTTTCTTCTGGCACTGTTATGTTCCCTGTTAAAGGTCAAAGCTTGGAGCAGATTGGCTGTGAAAATGTTTCTCTCGCACACAGTTATCTATGATGTGTGAAGGTTTTCAAAATCTAAACCAGACCGCTTGTTTGAGATGAAAATTTTCCCAGTGGGGGCAGTGTGTTTTTTTTTTTCTCTCTCTTTTTTTCTTGCATGGAGGAGGTGCGGAGCCGCCATCAGAACAACACCACCTGCAGCAGACTGCATGACCCTCATAAAATATGTGCTGGAATGTTCTGGAACAGCCACGTCTGCTAATCTGAACGAAGACATTTTTGTTGGCTGATCTCAGCATGCGAGAGAGAGGGTGGAAGAATAAGGGATGGGTGTGTGTGTGGAGGAGGGAGGGGTGGGGGGGGGATCTTGAGGTTGAACGAGACACAACTGCATAGCTTCTCCAGACCAGCTGAAGCATTAAATTATGCCTGAATAGGAAAGTGTTATGTGGTGAGCTGACAGACTCCGTCCCTGTGTACTTTTTTTTTTTTTTTGCTTCTGACATAGGTAGGACATTTTTATTTCCCCTCACAGCACCTCTGGGTTATCAGCTCAACCCTGAGGGTGTGATGGAGCCTGGCAGTGGGAGAAGTGGTGTTATTAGAGCCTTGTGGTTGTGTTTATTATAACTGCCTGTAATCCACTTAAAACAAACCCTCCCACTGACGATGTTAGCCAACTGCACGTGTGATAAACACTGACGGAGGTGGAGAAAGCTCAACACAGAAAAAAACACAGAAATGGCTGCTCAGATGTTTATTTCAGTCCCTTCAAACAGCGCTGACATAAAGTGTCTCCATTTCAACCTGAATCTAGTGTGAACTGCAGTGTGAATGACACAAGTGTGTGTTCAGTAGGTCTGATCACTCACTGAGGGCCATATTAAAACTGATTTCTCTCTAACACCGTGACTGTCTTTAATGAGCTGTTGCTGTCCATTGTGCAGGAGTCATATCGGCAGGTGATGAAGATGAGGCCGAAGGACCTGTGGAAAAGGCTCATGGTGAAGTTCAGAGGTGAAGAAGGACTTGATTATGGCGGGGTGGCCAGGTAAGGAGCCAATGGAGGGGATATTATATATACACCTCATCCTTCTTGGACTCAATCAACAACTATTTTTTGGTTCTACGGACTAAAGGGATATTGTAGGATAGGGCTGAACAATTTTGCGATAATCTCGCGTTATGTTAAAATGAGATTTTCTAATCGCACAGGATGCGATTTGACTGGTCACTTGACTTGAGAGTGAGCCGAGAGGAGCAGTGTTTCCAGCTTAGCTACATTGTCACTAGATCTAGTGGGTTTTCAGACCCCTCTAGCACCTTTTTTTCCCAGAGAAGAGACTAGCAACAAATCTGGTGACTTTTCCCCGTGTTTTTAGAGACTTTTAGAAGCGTTGACGAGAGAACTTTTCTCCTTTTCTCCTTCTACCCTCCGCGAGCTGTGCGGTGCGCCCCTCCCACTTTCTAAAGCGTCCCGACTCACTGCCTCGTTCAGCAGTGCGCACGCACGCACACACACACACACACACACACACACACACACACACACA